CAACGATTTGACCCACTTCCACATCTGTGTTTACACAAGGGCAGGAGAGTTACCAGCGAAAGGTCATGTCGGGTGCAAAACAAATGGAGTGTTCATAACAGAAATCAAATTCACGTAGCATTTTGTAGGCCGTTCTTGTCGATTGACTGTTATTGACACCAAATATTTGTGACCCCCAGCCTGTTTACATCATGGGCTATCAAAACTGCTTGCCTGCCCCAGCCCCAGATAATGTAGAGCTCAAGGATGTGACCCACTTCCACATCTGTGTTTACACAAGGGCCAGAGAGGAACAACACCACTTGCATGTGGAGCTGACTGAGGGTTTATTTACAGTAGCTGGTGACCTGGGCAACAAAGAGGGCCTTTGTTTGTTCAAGGATTACAGGCATGACACTGATGAGTTTGCAATAGGGCATCATCCACATGAGACCAACTTCTGGGGGAGTCCTTTTGAACAGTTATATCCAAAAAGGCAGATTAAGCGCCACTTTCGCCAATTCCACAAGGATTCTGTTGTCCTAACAAAGAGGAAATTTTTTTCCAGCTATCCTTGTGGGCATAAATCAATGTAATCCGTAGAAGGTGGGAACCAAAAAGGTCTACTGCACTATGGATGACATATAGATTTCTCTATTAATTAATCAAATTAAGTCATAATTTACATAATGAAAATCTCTTCCTCTTGATTACATATGCCACCATTTTAATTGTTTTATCACAGAACCCAGCAAATATATAGACTTCTGTCATTAATTATGTAAATTAGATCGTAATTTGCAAAATATTCAGCAAATTAGGTCAAGCATCACTTAAGCTACCGAGATACCAAAAATAACAACAATCCGTCAACCGGTTCTTGAGCTATCCTACTTCAAACATTTTCAAACAAATGCCACTGCATTTCCCAAACAAGCTGCTACGGGGCCCAAACTTACGGCACTTCTTTCTGAGCACGAGAACTACCTACCATCTAAAAATCATGACCATAGCACGTCCATATCACGAGATTTAAAAACCAGAAGTTTCGCTGCAGTACCTTCTAATTCAATGACGTGGGGACCCCCCACGAAGCCCATATCCGAACTTGACCTTGGTATTGTCAATGGTAACTTGCCAACTAAAAAACATGAACATCCATTTAAAGATTCTCGAGTTATCTTGATGACAAGAAAAAACACAAAAAACAAAGGTCAACTGCAGTGACATAGAAACCCCCACGGGGCCCATCTTCGAACTTGACCTCGGCATTCTCAACGGTAACTTGCCCACTAAAAATAATGAACATACATTTAAGGATTCTCGAGATATCTTGATGACAAGGAAAAAACACCAAAAACCAAGGTCAACTACAGTGACTTAGGAACCCCCACGAAGCCCATTTTTAGCCTTGACAATGGCCACCCCCAAATCAACCTGCCTGCCAAAAATCGTGAACCTCGGACCTTGCCTTCAAGAGTTATCGTGCCTAATCTGCCAAACAGTGCAAACCCGATTTCATAACCTTCTCCGAAGGCATAGCCTTCAGTCGAAGGCAATAACCCACTGCTTCTTTGGCTTAAAAAGGCTATGGGACTACATTATGTACCTTGACCTTTTTAATAACTAATTAGTATGAATGGAGTCACTAATTGTAAGGGAGTCATTAAGCACTAAAGGACCAATGATAATTGAGCAATCTACTGTGATGCTGCAAAATGTGTGTGACATTTAAATGGGGTGTGAAATTATCAAATGATGCTTATCAAATCCTTATCACCAACTTATTCCCAAAGGTCATTCAGAAAACATCGAGCCAATTTACATGGTAAAAAGCTACATATGAAAACTGCATACAATATTCAAACTGCAAGCATACAAAAAATGCATGCGTCAAAATTTTCCTTCGTGTAAATGGTCCTGCTTTGATCATACAGTACCTCAAGAACATCTATTCGGACTAATTGGAATCAATATCATGATATCCCATTGGTTGATTGCTCCAATCAGAAAGGGTTATTCTAACTCATTTATCTCAGACCTCCAATCATGTAATTAGTTACAGAAACTTGATATGAGTGGACTGGTAGACTGAAATGATTGAAATCTGGGGAACGGGTTTTCTGCGCGTGAAGAATTTGCACGTGAAAAACTTGCGCGTGAAAAATTTGCGCGTGAAAAATAAAAGTCTTAGAAATATGTTAGAAAATATGCAGTACCAAATTCTTAGGCAGGAAAATGTTGTCCTCTGGTATAATTTTCGCTCTGTTAGCCAAAATTTTTGTTTGAAAATGTTGGTCCCTTGGGAATAAGCTAATTTGCATAATTTCCATAAAACCTGACCTTTTGAAAATCACTTGAATTTGTAAGAAATACATGGAAAAGTTACTAGTATGAGGTTTAGGATGGTAAAATGTAACAATCTGAAGCTTTTCTCCATTCTAGAAGTTTGATTTCATGCTTTCTTAAACAAATTCTTTCACGCGCAAATTTCAACCTTTTTTGCGCGTGAAAACTTTACCTTTCAAAATAACCTGAAATCACAAAAAATGGACAAAACAAGGGTATGTAGTCTAGAATGCAAGCAAAATGATGTTAAATTTTTATTTTCTTGTCTTTTTTCCAACTTTTAAGCTTAAAACAGCAAAAAGTTTTCAAATCCCTTGGGAGTCAGCTAATTTACATATCTTCACGCGCAGATTCTTCACGCGCAAGTTTTTCACACGCAAATTTTTCACACGCACAAAACCCCATCTCGAAATCTGACACATTCTACAAAGTGGAACAAAACTTGTGGACATGACTTGGGATATTCATTCCACTTTCTAATATTTTTATCATAAAGATGACTGATGTATGCATTGTAGAATTATTGCCACCTGTTACATTGTAATAATCTAACATTTTTGACTATAACTTAGTATAACAAAGTCTAGGTTACTTGAGAAAACAGTTACTCAGTCACTCAGGCAACTGGATAGATTTTCCAAACTGTTTTTCATGTATCTCATTACCTGGATGTCTAACCTCCATCAACCAAATCTATGTATTTATTCATCAAACCTCTGCAGACTCATTACTGTTTTTCAGGGAATTTTCTAGGTTGTAGATCAACATCTACTAGTAAAGAAAAATGGCTTATAATGGTTACCCTTCACCAATAATTTCAAGACAATGATTAACATTGAATTCAAGTGGACAGGTACAAAGAGGTTGAAAACTTGGTCAGTTTTGCAGTGGCTATTGTATAAGTTCAATAGAAAGTGGTGTGCTCTCCTTAAAAATTGAGCTAGAAAAGCAGCTACACTATTTTTGTTGCAGTCTTTTCAACTAGACTATGCCACCAAATTTATTGTTCTAACACTGCAGACTCTATAAGTTGGATACAGGTACATATATAACAGGGTTGGTTAAAACGTGTATTTCTTGGGGTCCAAAAAGAAGGGAGCCCCAAATTATAACAATAGAATTTAGTTCCAAAATTCATAAATGTAGAAATTTGATGCTTGAGAATTTGGGTTTTAGATTTACGTACAAAATTGTCGTTTCATCTGAGAATGAAACTAAAATCAATATTGTATACTGGCATGTCAGTATCGGCAGCTCGCTTTCAAGGAGACAAATACAATATTTATAGGTCAAGTCTTTAGGTTAAAGTCAAGGTCCTTTCACTGAGCTCCAAAGATGCACCTTCTGATATGAAATAAAATCTGACCAGTACAGTTAGCCACCGTGCGGAATACTCGTTTCTTCACACGTACAGACCTGTCACACAATCAACGTACTATCACATCCTGTATGAAATGAAAAGTCTTTCTTGGTTTGCTTTCGGAGAAACTTGGCGAAAGGTATAAGACCGTCTGTTGGGGCACCCTCCTTGATTTTTTGAGCGCCGCTTCTACCAGTTGAACGTGAACTTCTCTCTACACATATTCGAAGAAACCGGGGAAGCACTTACCTCAGACAAGACTTGAGGGTGTAGATCGCCGTTGAAAGACGGTGAGACGAGGAAGGACGGAGCTCTAACGTGACGGCAGTGTCGGTGTGTGTGTGTCTGCATACCTCCGTCTGCTCTACCTCCGCGGCACACGGCTCGGAGTAAACAGCGAGGACTATTTCAGGAAGTTCGCAGGAATATACTAATAACGCAACGTGTAGGGGTGTCATTTTATTGCCTCAACATTCCAACCATTTCTCAGAAAGACTAACGAATTAAACTATATTTATAGGTATTCATATCATATTTAGAGGAAAATTATAGTTTAGGAATGATGATATTGATAGTTGATGTCTTGCAAATTTCAAGCGAGGGACACCCCTCAATCAAAGTGAACTATTCTAATTAGCTTCCGGTTAAAATGTGCAACCGGAAATGTGTGTAAAACAGAAAACTACGACCCAAAAAACATGAGAAAGAATCCTTTATCTAACAAGGATGTGAATAAAAACCGTAAAATATGACAAAGAAGTCTCAAATCTGGTTATTTCACGATAAAACAACTGTCATTTTGGAGGAAAATTCAGTAGTAAAGGACGGTGCCTCCCACACAGCTGACGAGGTGGCCGAGTGGTTAAGGCGATGGACTGCTAATCCATTGTGCTCTGCACGCGTGGGTTCGAATCCCATCCTCGTCGATAAAATTTTTCATTTTTCCCTTTTTCATTTTATAATTTTTTATATAATATTCTTTTTAGACTTTAGAACATTCACTACATCTATTTCGATTCGATTTTCATCACTTCCAACAAATTATAATACACATCTTTGACTTTTCCATTTTCAGTGATATTCAGAGGATGTTGGAATCAGGTACAAATATATTTTCAATATACTTGTAATAAAGCATATAAATGAAAATATTTACCTAGGAAATACACTAATAAATTCAAGTGCCTGTCCTAGTCCTATAGTGTAGAAATCCCAAAACAAGGAAGGGAATTTGTTTAGAAAACAATTTTGATAGGCAACCACAATTCATAGGAAGTACAATGTAATGGAAACTCAGATTCACTCATACTCATTTTTCAAAATAATTTCTTTTAATAACTGTGGTTGCTGGCATTGATTCACTCAGCATTGCTTAGCCTATCACAGTGGAGAAATTTTCCCTTTAATTAATTCATTTATCTTATAAATATGCCATTTTCATGCTCCCAGAAACAGAATCAACAAGTGGGTTTTCAGATCTGACATTTTGGTGACCATCTGTCAAATTCTTCAGGGCAACAATGACTGGTTCTGATTTGTACTGAAGCTAGCTACATGTAGGTGTCGCTGCTGCATTCAGAACAAGTCATTGTTGCCCTAAAGAAGGTGACAGACAGTCACCAGAATGCTGGATGTGAAAACCCAAAGGTTGTTGAATAAAGAATAAGAATTCAAATTATTCATGGAGGTTGGTTTGCTCTTTCCTCTTACAATGGTCACGCTCAGAAGTTGGCAGTAGTGTATAGTACGTACAATGTACATGTAGCCTAATTTACATCTTTAAAAAATTGTTTGACCACGGTCAAATGGATACTAGACACTACTTTTCTTCCACTTTAAATCAAAAGCAGCTCTTCCTTTATCCTTGTTGACAATGATGCAGATTCTTTCTCTCTCTTTTTCGGAAATTCAGGATAACAATCTTCTTTCGTCAAATGAAGAATCGACCACTCTATTGCAGACAAGAAGCCTCCTCCGCTGGTTAAGCATTGATGCTGAAAAAAACAATGTAAGACAGATGTGAAGAAAAACAACATAAACTTGTGTGAAACAACTTCTTTCATAATTACTTCTACCAACACAGTTACAAACTTATGATAATAGGTTTTAAAAGTTCCAAGTTAGAATAATTTGAACGCATTTCACGTGCACAGCTTTCAAAATTGGGGAAAAAAATAGATTGGGACATTGGATGTTGTTAGAATTTTTTTGGTTTAGGGACACTAAATTTTCTAAATTTATAGCACATTCTTTTTTTACTGAAATGGGTGTTTTCTCATCTGGGTATGACATATACATATATATAAAATACAACATGGTGTATTCCACATCACCCAAGGTACCAGACCAACCAAAGGAAGTGGTGTATTCTATTGGCCGGTAATTATAAATTGAAGTATAATACATGTAGGTGCTTTATGTGAACACAGACCTGATTTCCTTGTACTGCTTCTTCTCTACATACTTCTTCTTGTACTTCTTCTGACGCCTGCAGAAAAGAAATCACATGTAACAGGTGAGGGCTAACAGCCTGTTGCTATATATTTGCTGAATAATGTCTGAAGAATTTCATGGAAATATCAGTCATACCTGACCAAATAATCTCTTTGACAGAAGCACAAGGATCACTTTCGTGATATCACAGATCAAAATCACAGCCATTTTATGTATTTTATCATTCACTTCATTAATTTCTTTATTCTGCATTTATTCATCTCTGACTTAAGTACTGTAACTCCTGATTCTTTTACAGTATAATATTTCGCTGTTTTCATGGTCAATTTTGTACAGTGTGAACTTAACATATATGGAAATCTAATCATTTGGCATTAGTCCCCCTCCCGCACTCCTTTGGAGATTAAGTTCTGTGAACATGCCAATTTTCTTCAGACCATGACATTTTCCTATCATGAAGACAAAGTGCATTATAGTACATGTATCTGCATAAGCTTTTATAATTTTTGAAATTTGAGCAGAGCAAACACCATCATTCAAGAACAGTTCTTACTTTCAAATATTCATCAAAGGTACCAGAGAATGTTTGTAGTACTACTTACTTTGCTTTGACTCTTGTTTCTAAGATGTTTCTTCGCTGGAGACTTTTGAAGCGGTCTTTGAGGACGCTGCCTTCAGGCTGTGGGAGAGAGAGGGGAGGTTTATGTAAAACTCCTGTCGCACATTCTGGACCTCCCACAACTTCATTCCCAACAACCACTCTCCAACCAAGGCCGACACTGTTTTTTTCTCTTTTTCTCTATTGAAGCTGTAGGAGCAGTGGGTTCAGTGTGTCTTGCACCGGACACGGTATTGGAAGGCGGAGCCCATCCCTCTCTCTTTCTACTTCCAATCAATAATAAGGCAACACTGACTTAATTTTATGGATGACATCCGCGCAAGCATTGATTTGCACCTGTTTTCAAAAAAAAAAGATCACGTCCACCGAGGCTCTGGCCTGGCTCAAGGCCTGGGTAGTCCATTGTAGTTAGCAACAACACGGTGCCGGCCTACCCAGGCTACCAAAGCTCCAAGACTGAAGAACGCATGCTGACCTTAAACTCCCTGAGTGTGCCGACAAGCTCTTCACTCAGCTTGAATTCTGGGAAAGGCTCCTCATACCTGAAGTACTGTTAAGGCTTCACTTTTTGACACACAGGTACACATTACCAAATGCATCAATCAGATCACAATTGATACAAACAAAACAAAACATAACATAATGAAGCAAGTTTAAACAGTAATTTCCAACACGAAGAAATTGGACCAAGTCATGTGTGTTATCTGTATAATGTCACATCACAACATTTCTTGTGTTGGAAAGTACATTGTACCGTTTTTACCTACTTCATAATGACTTCTACCAACACAAATAAACTTTGAAGTTAAAAAATCAGACATTTGAAACTTCTGGGAAGTAGATATACATGTGGTTTGCATTAATGTATACATGTAAGCTTACTCCACTATTGCACCCTGCAGCTGGTCAGCATTTAATACATTCTTGGCAACCACATCATTGAACCCAGGGTGTACTGGCTTAAACCCTGTCAATCAAGTGAAACCCTATCTCTGCCCACTCACTTGGGAATCCAAACAAACAGACCTTGCACCCAGAACAATACTTCCATCCCAGAATACAGCAAACTAATTACATTATGGCAAAATGATACTGTAACTACAAGTAAAAAAAAAGGCACCTTTTCTGTACACATAGAAAATGCATGTTTTTCAGAATAATTATCATAACAATAATTACAAATTGCCTGTTGCAAGTTATGGATGACCTTGTAATCTATGTATCTTACAGTCATCAAAGCTGTCACTGTTTGGGGCACTTTGCAACATGCAGTCAGTAAAGGATACTTGCGTCTGCTGAGTCTTTTAGGTTTATCAGCATTCTGAGCTCTTATATCTGCTCTCTTCTTTTGTCTCTCTTCCTTCTTCTTCTCCAAGGCGTTGATCTCTTTCTTGATAGTCTTGAGCCTACAGATATAAACAGGGGGATACTAGTATGACTCCATAATTTATACGAGGGCAAAACTTGGGGTACAAAAATTGTGTTCACACCCAAGCGTAAAAAACAGCAAATGTCAATTTTTCCTGCGGCAAGTTGGTAACGTATGATCTGAACGTACATAATATATATTCTTGACATGCATCAAAGCAAGCCCATTTACACTTGACATAAGATTTGGAAACATTTGACATAAGCTGTCTAAACTTGTCTTTGTATGCTTGCAAGTGAACGCAGTTTTCGTACCACTGGTTTTTGCCTGCATGTGTACAATGTATATCGAGTCTGTAAATTTTAATAGAAGCATAACTAAGTGCTATAGCATCAATACAAATTACATTCATTTACCTAAAAGCTTGTATTAATTTTGTATTCTGTATTTCATTGTGTATTTCAGTCCCACCTGTTTACTTCATGCTCCTGGACCTTCTTTGTCTTCTCTGCTGTTTTCTGTTGTTCCTAATACAAAAAGGGGAAATCATCCAATGTAGTGAATACCAACAGATTCCTGCTTACGAACAGAAAATTAGCCACCAACTCTAACAACAATTTTGTTGAGTTGTTGATTTTGTGGCTTTTTTAAATCTTTCATTCAAGATACATCAGATAATTGTTCTTTACATTCATTAACTTGATTAAGTGGCCAGAAAAGGCCATACCTGCTCTCTTTGTTCCTTTTCTTTTCTTCTCTTTTGTCTGGATTTCTTGTCTTCTGCCCTGATGGTAGCCTTAGGGATTGACTGCTCCCCTTCCTGCTCCTCCCCTTCCTGTTCCTCCCCTTCCTCCTCATCTTCCTCTTCATCAAGAAGGCCCTCAGTCAACTCCTTCAACTTGTCTTTCTGAAATACAAATAGCAATTTTACTTTACCAAAACTAATAACTGTATTAAAAGGTAATGTGCAAAAAAATTCATATTTACCTTCACATGGTCTAGCCTAGCTACTGCTTTGTTTCCTCTTACTCAAACACATTCATATACATGGTGACTAGCCACACCTATTCTGTCCTGCCACTTGCTACATAATGTAACCCAACGCCACTGGCTGTCTGCTACAGCACCAGTTACCATGGTGACAGCTGTCTGGTCCAGGAAATTCACTTTATTTGCTTGGAATGGAAGTAGGTAGAGCAAGAGGAAGAAGAAGAAACAAAGCAAAAACAATATAAGGTAGGGATTTTCATAGTCCACACACAAGTAAAAGACGACACACTGGCCTTGTACTCACACGAGTTGCCCACTCTCTCTTTGGTGGCAGTCTGGCCTGTCTCTCTAACTTCTTCTCAGCCTTGAGTTTCTTACTCTCTGTGCATACTGCCTGCTGCAGCAGCTCCTGGTGCTCCTCAAATGTGGGGTTGTAAGACCCTCCAGGGTGGATCACCTCCACCTTAGGCAGTACGGACGGTTTCCTGGCATGTATTTGTGTAAGGACAGGCTGGAACGGGGTAGAGACAGTGTGTTACATTGCACACATTCAAGTCAGAGTTTATTAAACATTCAACAATGATTGCAACAGGTACAATGTATGGCAAATAATGTGGATTATTAACAGTTATAATCTATTCAGACTAGTGTACTATTCTAATATCATTCTTCGGTATATGTATTATGATATCACATTGTTATGACACAGTTATGACTTTTTTGTATAGCATTGTATATCTATGTATTGGCCTAGTTAGACAGATACTACATTGTACTAGTAATCTCCAAGCAGATCTTTTGGTGGCCGCCAAAAACAGTATCAAATTAACCAGGCAGTATCCTTTAGCCAGACAGTATCCATTGGCCTTCGGTCTAAGTTATATTAGTACATTATGGTTGATAGTTGGTTTGAATGTGCTGACATCTTACAAAGTTCCTACTTACCACATTTACTCTTGTCTTGCCAGTCACCTGAGCATAGTACTCATCCTCTTCCTTCTCAGTGTTCTTTTCTTCTGTTTCTACATGTAAAACAACAGACACTATTTGTAACTAATAACATGTAGGCAATGATACATGTCCTTTATGTAAAAAGTACAGAGTGACGTAATTTGGCAAAAAACTGTAACAACATCAATTCCAATGTCAGAATATGGTATTCAAATTTTCCAAAGTAACAAACGTGCATGTCTTTGGAATGTTTGGAGCTTGGAAGTGATAACCAGTAAAAGCCTGCGTGATTACCCAAGTTATCATGCATGACCAAAGTTAGGCCTAGAAAAAAATGATTCCTGTTTCCCGATCAATCCTAGAAAAACTGCCAACCCTAGCCTTTTTTTTAGGTGGACCCCTGCAAGGGACATACATTTTTTGAGCTGTACAACCTTTTTAATTTTCTAGCTCCATGATCTGACACCTGAGTGATGAAACATTGTACAATGTTTATCAGTCTGATATATAAAATCTTGTACTTACCATTGCCCCAGAGGTCATAATATTCCCGAACTGGTTGTGGTTTTTTCAGCCCTGCCTGTACAGAGTTCAGCTTCAGTTTCTTCCTCCTCTCCTTTGAGATGTACCCTGTCTTCTTCTCAAGTTCTTTAGCTTTGACCTCCTTCCTTCTCACCTTACCTGATCCCATAGGTGGGGCATGCCTGTATAAAAACATGAATAATCATGTCATGTTTTTACAAAACTTGTAAAGGCATAAGCAAGTATTGCCTACTTGTACAATACATGTGACATTATGTACATGTATAATACTTTGAGGTAAGACTTAGAGGTCAAATATATACTATTAGTTAGATTTATTATACTTTTGTGCGACATTTCTATACATCAATCATGCCAAAGATTTTAACCTTTATTGACTGATAATATTGGCTTGTCTAAAAGTTAAAACAAGTACAGGTAATACTTACCCTGTGACAGGTTTGACTGTTGTCTCTCCAGCTATGATCTGATCTATTTTCAGTGGTTTTAGCTCTTTTTTTCTTTTCTTAGCCACTGTAAGAAAAAAAAACAAAGAAATTAATTTGTAAAGCTTGTAGACTACATTCTTTCAAGAAGCAAACAATTATTGTGATAACACACAACTTTGAAAGTTATGTTTGCTTAAAGCCTTTACTTTTTCTTCTCATTGGACCTTTTTCAAGAGAAATGGTGTTAAGTCTTGATAAAATCCTATCCATAAACAAAATATAACTTACCCGGTGCTTCAAGTTCATTGTCATTTTGTTTGTCAACATAGAACAGGCTGTCATCTGCCTTGTCTGCTACAAGACCACTGCAAGTGAACATGAAAAATTGAAAAAATACTATGAGTTTCTAAACGATGGCACCAGTTTAACAGAATTCTAAGTAAGGAACAAGTCGAGGTAAAATGTATTTCAAAAGATTACTATAAATCACTTTTTTTGCGGTACTTTTATATTTGCAGTTTTCACTGTCACTTCTGTATGAACTGCTAACTTATCATTTAACGTGAGCAAATAATTTTCCGATTAAATCTTTTTTCTGCACCTGCCGCCACAGCAAACATATAGTTCTGCGAACATGTCTATTTTTCTTAGGCCACGAACTTTTGCTATTGCAAACATAAAGTGATTTCCACACAAACTACAGTATTTTGTGGCCCCTGGCCTGGATCCATTTAAATTTTAAATTTAACCCGTGCAGCAGCATGCAATTCAGTACATAACATATATACTGTATCAGCACTAGCCGCGGCGACTCTTGACTCGGGCTTACATTGCATTACCCTCAGCAAGAGTCGTGGAAAGATCCATTGGCAGAACTGCACATTTCCCGTTGGCTGCACGATGCTCCGTTTTTGACCCGGTTTTTTGCTGTCCCGAGCTTCCCTACAATATAACTCCACAATTGGCCGGGTTGCCGATGTTTAGATCAGCCTAAATATTCCACAGCGCGACAGAAAAGTAGTAAAATAGCTAGTCGGCACAAGCTGGCGGCCATCTTGGATATAGTCGGGAATGTCCGCTACCGCCGTCGGGAACGCTCGGTAGCCTTTCCGGTTATAATCGGAGAGCTTTCGGTCGCGCTTCGGACGCTACCGAGCGTTCCCGACGGCGGTAGCGGACATTCCAAGATGGCCGCCAGCTTGTGCCGACTAGCTATTTTACTACTTTTCTGTCGCGCTGTGGAATATTTAGGCTGATCTAAACATCGGCAACCCGGCCAATTGTGGAGTTATATTGTAGGGAAGCTCGGGACAGCAAAAAACCGGGTCAAAAACGGAGGATCGTGCAGCCAACGGGAAATGTGCAGTTCTGCCAATGGATCTTTCCACGACTCTTGCTGAGGGTAATGCAATGTAAGCCCGAATCAAGAGTCGCCACGGCTAGTGTTGTCCCAGGTATACGTGGGGTATTGAAAACGAAGAATTACATGGCACGATTCTCTGCACTGTTGTATTGTTTCAACTGTGAACTCAAAACTTAGTGGGTGCCTTCTTTCCTCCCTCCCACCATGAAAGAAAGTCCCCACAAAAGTACAGAACATTGTATAACGATTTCAGTGGTGTTCAGTCAGTATTCTTGTGACATGCAGTTTTTACGATGTCTTGTGAGGCTGAATTAGCCTATTTCCAGTATGTTTTGATCAAAGCTTCATAAAACTTTATGGTAAATTTCTAACGGAGGTAATTAACTTATGAGAAAATTGTCAAAGATAGCCGGGACAAGGTGAGATTTA